CGCTCCGCCATCATCTCCTCCTCCATCGACCGAACTCGGTTCGATTCGACTTGTCTCGACACTATTCTCTTTTTTCGGTCTCCCCATCGTCCTCCTCCTCCCCCTTTTCTTCACTGATCTTACTCTCCGATTCGTTATCCTTTGTTCGGACATTTTGCCAATTCTCTCTTCTCTTATCGCATCTCTTACACGTCGATATTCTCTCTCCTGTATGTACGTATGTAAAAAAAAAAACATGGCCAACTTCTCCATTTTTCACCCGTTTCGTCAATTTTTTCCTTCCTGTATTCACAATCTTTCCGTTTCGTCTCGTCTCGTTTCTTCCAATTTCTCGAGTTTCGGAGTAAGCGCGTTTCAATCGAACAAATCTTCGACGTCACCAAGCGTTAACGGAGTGTATTCAGATATTCCGTGATCGTATACGATTTCCTATGGAAACCAGTGTCGATCGAAGAGTCGCATTTGGTCGCGTGTAAGCATTCAAAGTGTGTACGTATAACTAGTGAGTCGGATAACAGCGCGCGACAGGGCCGTGAAGCGGTGCCGAAGAGTGTGTAGTTTTTTGCTAAGGGGGATTTACAGATTGCACACCTGTGCGTGGCTTGGTCGAGGAAAGACCTCACCTGTCGAGCAACCGGTCTCCATTGACTTTTTCTTCCTTTACGTACACTCACTTCGCTCTCTGCTCTCCACTCCATTCTCTACTATCTGCACTTCACCCTGCGTATTCCGACCACTACCATCGCCACCATCGCCACCACCACCAGCACCCTCAGCCATTCTTCACCCTCCACGCGGTCTCCTCCTCGCGGGTTCTTAGCTCTTCACCCTAAATTCTTCACGTCGCGTGATATACCTTTCGCTTTCCAGTTAACTCGTACAAGTGACGCTGCTATCGTTTACGCTGCTTGCAGCGCACGTACGTAGGTACGTTGCGCGACTCGTTGCTCCAAACGAATCTTTCATTAAAGATTTTTCTCTCCTGGCAACAAAAAAAAAAAAAAAAAAAAAAAAAAAGAGCAAGATTGGGCTTCGAATCGTAAATCTACGGTGTTCCACTCGTTTTCGGCAAATGTGAATGCTTGCGCGCGTGCGTGTGTGGTCGATTACTCGTAAGAATTCGATCAAGAAGAGAGGCTGTAGCGCGCTAGGGAAGTAAGGAAACGGCTAGAAGAGTATGTATCGACGTTGGAGTACGAGGTTTAACGGTCGGTGGTCAGTGATCGGTGAGGATCAAGGATCGACGATCGGTGATCGTATTTGCTCTGAAAATCCGTGGGACGGTATTTAACGATCAAGACTGTGAGCGACTTTAGAGGCAAATTATCAGGCTGCAGGCAATTACCAGGTGGGGGTCCGATACAGAGTGGGGCGGTTTGAGAGTTCCGAGAATCGGTCGTGGCTAAAAATAAGATCCCACCCGGGAGCGGTGATTATGTTCCGAAAAAAGAGAACTGGGCGAAACGCTCTCCCCGGTGTGTGCAGGTGCCGCCGATGAGACCAAAGAAAAAGGAGCAACGGGTAACCGCCGTCGTGTGTTCGAGAATCTCGCATTGCCCCGCATCGGTGTGCATAAGAAGGCCTTCTTTCTCTCTCCCCCCCCCCCCCCCGGTAGCTCTCACTCTCTCTCTCTCTCTCGCACATTACTATGCAGTGCGGTACGGTGCGGTACAGTGCGGTGCTATGACGTGACGTGCCGCGCCGTGTTGCGCTCTGCTGTGTCGGGCCGCGCTTCAGCTCCGCTTAATGAAGTTGTCGGTTCAGGACGTTTACAGGTGGGGCCTACCTGCGTGTGGTCCATTCACGGCGATTGCCGCAGGACTGGTTAGGAGTGCTTTACATCTTTACTTTTACCTCTCGAACCGCTTCGAGTCTCGTCCGCTCTTCTCTCGGAGAGCCTCGAGATGCCGTGTGCTCGAGCAGGACCGACCGTGATCGCGCAGGCTTGTCCACCGCGCGTCATCATCCTCGTTGTGTTGTTTGTTGCTGTCGTACGCCCGGTACAGAGTAGGAGCGGGAGAGTTCGGCCGCTATTACAACCGCAACCAAGCGCGACCTGTACACTTTCGAGGAAGGGGTTTCAGGAGAGGGAATGCAGAGCCACTGAAACGTACAACTACGGATACCCGTATGTCTCGACCGAGGACGTGTATCTTTTAGCCTCGGACCGACTGCACATACGTTTCGAACAATCGATGGATTTCATACATTTTTGCATCTTATCCTGGGTATCTCTCTCTCTCTCTCCTGCTCGTTCGCTCTCCCTCCGACGCCTGTCGACGCTACGAACTCGAGTTTAAATCTGATTCTCTTTGAAAACCCTATTATGTACTCGCTGCGCTACACTTTCTTTTCTGTGCTGTAATTTTACTTGTGGTTTACCGCGAAGATGACCAACTAAACGACCGACCACCATTCTGGACTTCAACAACGCACAGCCGTTTTTCCGATTTCTTTTTTCTTCGATCGATGCAGTTCCTCTCGTAAGACCATTTTCTTTTATTCTTTTTTCCAGACTATGCATCGACAACAGAGACTTCGCTCGTCGTCGTCGTCGTCGTCGTCGTCGTCGTCGTCATCGTTAGCGTTGCCATTCTCAACGTCTCGGTCATCCATCCCAACTGCACCGCTATCACCAACAGCGTCGATGTCGTCTCTGACAATGTCTACGTCACCCTCAACGTCCTCATCTTCGTCGCCGTCGCCATCTACCTTTTTACCATCGTCAGCGACGTGGTCAACGTCCAACCTGTCGACGTATTCGTGGAGCGTACAACAAACCTCGTGTTCGAGGTTATCTTCGTTACCAAGCGATTCGTCGATCGTTCCAACCGTATCGATACCCTGCCCGAGACTTGTCTCTGTATTAGCCTGGTCGGTGACACTGTTACTCGTCTCGTCTTGTATCGGCCTAACGGATGCTGGCATCTTGAACGGACATCCTTTGGGTAAAAGGTCGTTTATCGATATCCAATGTAAGGGTATATACGACAAGAGCATCTTCGCCCGGCTGGATCGCATTTGCGAGGATTGTTACAACCTATTCCGGGAACCTCAGTTGCATCAGTTGTGCAGGTAGGTAATCGCCCACCGGTACTCTTCTTCCCGTACTATTACACAGGTCTGTCCATTTCTTCCAACATACTCTTCAAACAGATTCGAATAACCAACGACGCCGAAACTTTCGTTGCAAACTTCCTCTTTACACTGTGTTAACGGGGGAACGAAAGAGAGATATTGTTATATGTATATATATGTAAATGGTCGCGTCGATGGTTGTTCCAAGAGAGAGAGAGAGAGAGAGAGAGAGAGAGAGACAGAGAGAGAGAGAGAGAGAGAGTAGTAAACCACCGATTCAATTTCATTCGTTTTCAGCGACCAGAGATCTAGGACGAATCGCAAGATAACGACGCGCCGTCAATTCTGCCGCTTATATTTACCATTTGTATTTTGAAATTTTTTTGCAGGAAAAACTGCTTTACGTCAGACTACTTCAAAGGATGCTTAGACGTGCTACTGTTGCAAGACGAGGTAGAGAAGATCCAAACATGGATCAAACAACTTCACGGAGCGGAACCCGGGGTTTAGGTAGCTTTTTTTTTTACGTTTATGATTTCTTTCCCGCGTATTTTCATTTTCCAGCTTCACGCGTACACCTACTATTCTCCTTCCTTACCATTCTTCTCCTCCACCGATAACTTTCTCCTTCTTCGGTAATAGTCCATCCAAACTTCCATTCGAATTCCCTCCTATTCACGCCTTCCCCCCCCCCCCCCCGTTTTTCTCCATATTTTTCTTACACGTTTGTTTTCGTTGCTCGTTGCCGCTAGTTCCCAACATTTACCAACAAGTTAGTTGTTTTTCGATCCACACGAACGATTCGCCTTTGACGACATCGTGCACGCTCTATGTGCTTTTAGGTAATTCTCACCTGATTTCGCAATAACAAACGATACCGTTCTTCTTTCTCTATTCTTGTATCAGCAACGTACGTACATATGTACACTCGATCATCAACCAAATGAATTTTGGTCATAAGTACGTTCTTGATAAGAGTTGTTATCAAGATCGTGTTCAGGGGTGCAGGACACCTTTCGTTACATTTCTCACAAACCCTTTTTTGCCCATCTAGCGCCGATATTTCCATCCTTTCCCCTTTTTTCTTTTTCGGTCCAACAGATTTTTGTCGCGCGTTATCGTGCTTCGTCGTCGAAACATGGGTATGGATTTCGCGCTAATCTACATTTTTCAGATCGCGCCAAGGGAAGAGAACGATGCCAATGGAAATACAGTATTTTTCCATCAAATCAAATGTTTTCGCAGGTTCTCTTATCGGAAGCAGCTGTTGCTATCACGTGCATTTTGTTTTTTGCAGCCGTATTTACGAAATGGCGGTTTTTTTACCCCAAACTTTTTACCGCGTGTCATTCTCCCAATATGTATGTATTCCGCTACATCTGTACTCCGCACATTCAAACGGATTCGTTTCGCTACGTCGTATCGAGAGCGAGAAAATCGTCACGATCAAGGATACACGTCGATGGCGAGAAAGCAAGCGAACGAATCCTAATTTCCCTTCTCCCTTGCCCGTCATCTTTTTCAAACGTGTCACCAAGCCAAGTCGAAAATTTCACGCAATCCTCGAATTTCCGCGGCAAGGTACGAAACACGACCTAACTATTGTAACATCTTGTATATTTAGGCAAGACTGCTTTGGTACGCAATACTTTACAAGCTGTATTCAAGCGTTGCTGCTCGAAGACGAGAAGGAAAAGTTTCAAGAGATGGTCGAGTACCTAGGCCGCAAGAAGTAAGAGGAAAAGAACATAGAGGCGCTTTCATTACGAAGGGTTTTTCATTTATACGACATCTACGGTGGAACGATTTCAACAACGAGAAACTTAGAGGAATAACGAGAAACAATGAGAAACAACAACGAGAAACAACTAGGAACAAGGAAAAAGAAGAAGCTATCGACTACCGGAAAACGATCATCACACGAATTTTCGAAATCTCATTGACTTTCTTAGTTCACGCTACTTCCTTCAGGACGTCCGAAAGACCGAACACACTCCTGAACCGGGGATTCGAAGCACGCTACGCGATCATACCTCCTCCTTATCTTTAACAATCGATCAGCAATCGTACGTCTCCTTACGTATCTACATAAGACCATAATACGTACGTACACACCTACATAATTCGGGAAAAAAGGAAAAATAATGCAAAGTCGTGAGCAGAGACTCGCGTCAAACGAATATCTGACTTTTTCTACAATGTGCACAGTGCGTAGAAATAATTGAAAATTAAGCAAACATCAACCGTACGAAATGGAGCCCACTTTTGTCCTTACCGCTTTCGTCGTTGTTGCTTTCCGTTTGCGAAAATTGCGTGTCAGATTCGTGCAAGCAAATTGGTATGAGCGCGAAGTTTGCGTGCCGATGAATCCATACGAATCTAGTCGACAGAATATTTGCGCTCTTGCGATATTTGCGTTTTATCCAATTAATCGTTAATTATCTGCGTTGATTATTATCGTCGTCCGTTATTACGACGATTATTATTTTTTATCCCCTTTTTATATCGGTACTATAATGCTTAAAACCGAAAGAAAAAAAAGAAGAAGAAAAAAGGGAAGAAAGAAGAAGAAAAGGACGAAAGAAAATCGTACACGCGTTACTTATTCAATATACGATTTCGTTGATTAAAGTAGACGACCCGACGCCAGAGTCCTTAACCAGAAGATAGGCCAAAATTACGAGTAAGTCTCGCCCAAAATGAATCGAGATTTTTCGAAAAAGAGAATATTCACGCAACTACTATTTCTTCGTTCCAATGGTAAAAACATTTCGTTATCGGTCTCGGCAATTTTCACGCGATTAGCGAAAACAAGCCATTTGGAAACAGAACAAAGAAAACAACAACAAAAAGAGAAAGAAAGAAATAATTAGAAGGGCTCGTGGATTACATTATTATTACGTTACAAATACCGACATTATCTACAGTATTTCTACCATTAACGTTGCTGCTATATCCTATAACCGCAACTGCAATAACAACGACGATAATTACTACTCCTGTTGCTATTGCTGCTACACCTCCGGTAATACTACTAATCCCTACTAATACCATCGCGTCCCGTCGCTATACCATTCCCACTATTAAACGTACCAAATCTACAACTGCTACTTCCTTCCACTACTATCATTCTTATCATTACTGTTGTTGCTGCTGCTATCTTCACCACACTGTAACGACACAACGACGACGACGACGACGACGATTACCACATAATCATAACCCATCATCTACTACCGCTGTTGTTACCGCTGCTCTAATTAACTACCATTATTATCGCTACTATTATCTCTTCTATTATGTTATACTATACTATATTATATTATATTGTACCGTTAGTTTATAGCATACTTATCGTTGTTGCAATTACTACGAGATATTAGTGCGACAACTCCGAGTTCAAGTTCGACGACGATTGTTTCGAAAAGGAATCAGAGAGAGAGAGAGAGAGAGAGAGAGAGAGAGAGAGAGAGAGAGAGAGAGAGAAACGAACAAAGTTTTATCAATCAGTCGAACGACGCGAATCAAGGAGTTATTCGTACGTAGTAAACGTATAATATTTATTTATTTGTTCACTTTCTTCAAGTTTGAGAAAGGCGATCGTAAAGCGGTCATAAAACTTATACAACAACGTTCTCTCCGAGAAGCTTATCGCGTAAGAAATGTATCGTTTTCGGATATCCGTTTACACTACAATAGATGATCTCCGACTATTGCGCGCAGGAATCGTTAGTAAGTGGATGCTATGGAAATTCCATCAACGTTACTGAACATTATCTCATGTTCACCCACTCCCGACACCGGGAATTACGGACCATTCCAAAATCAGTATTGAAACCATTCCCCCTCGCCCTCGATATTGTTCTAGAATCATCGTCGATGTAACGTATTCGTTTCTACCGCGCAACAACACCCTTCTTCTACCAACTAGAATCTCTGTTTAAAGTCGGCTGTTTGCTTTCGTTTCACCGTCTATTTTGCATCGATTGCGATACCACCCCCCACCATCACCTATAGTATATCATCGTCGTTTGTTCGAACCGCGCGCAGGTAGAAACGAAAAGAGAAACGGCTTGGAATGCGCACATTGTTCGATTCGATTCGATTCTTGTACAATTCTATAATGTATATTATATTATATCTTAAAATAATATATAATATATATTATATACTTTATATACATGCATACATACAGGCATGTGCATAATCGCGTAAAAAAAAAAAGCGCGTAATCGTAAATATGTATGCATACGCGTATGTATACTACCTGACATATGTATGTGCATGCAGCAGTTGCTCTACATTATAACACGCGTGCGTACACGTATACGCGCGCACGTAGGCACATATGCATCAAATGTAACGTATATATATATATATATACATGCATAGAAAATTGCGTACACGCGCTTCACGCGACTCGAATATTTAAGTCTATTCTTGTTTTGCGTGAATAAAGATGATTCAAAAATCACAACGTTCATGTTCTTTCTGTCAAATCCACCACTACTATCCCCATCTGCGGGTAAACGGGCTCGTCGATATCTCAAAACTACTTCACGAAAATGGCCTACTACTCCGATACAGTCGAAAAACAACGGTAAAGAGCAAATTTGTTCCGTTCGCACACGTAGACCAAATTACCACCATCGAAATAACGACTACGTACACAGTTCAAAGTGCACATGTTACTTGATATTTCACTTACTAGTACATACATATGCAGTCGTCACATACCTGTCCTGTCACTGTTATGTACACGCGCAAACACAAACACGCGCGCGCGCACACGTTTGTGCAACTAGAAGAGAACGTAATTAAAACAAAACCGAGAGTCACTTTTCACCATTAATCAATTCTGTTTTCGTTAAATCCTTCTACTATACGCTTATACAAATACATTCCAACACGTTTACTCTGTTCAAATAACTAACTAACTCGTTGCTGCTGCCCCTCGTAACGCTTCCTGTTGAGAAAATCTATCATTCCTTAAGCAAGAAACAAGCGCACAACGCAAAAATTCAGTATCGCCAATGTTGTCGATTTTAACCGGTTACGAACGATCGATCCCGATAGCACTTATCAGTACCAAATGGGTACACAAAAAACTGTTTCGAGGGAATAATAATCAAAATGCAAACTTTATCGCGTTTCGAAGGCAAAGAACTAGGAGGAGCGAGTAAGAACGGTTGATCTTTTCGTAAACTCATTTTATAATGTACAACGTACACACACACACACGCGCGCACACATACACTCACACACACACACACCAGTGTATATGCGCTAATCAAATATATATATATATATTATCAAATGCTAGATTTCTATGAAACACAATAGTACGAAGGAAACAACACTGCAAACATACCTTAAGCTAGACACAGTTTTTTTTTTTCTTCTTTACAATTTGTACTGTCGCGTTAATTTTTACAACTGTACGGTATTACAAATTTAACAGTACTTAACTTTGGATAATATTTGGAACATCGAGAGTTTCGCGATTCATCTTTCTCCCTCTTCTTCCTCTTGTGCTTAACGACGATAAACCTAAAAAAAAACCGCACAAACACGCACACGCGCTTACACACGAAGAAAACGTATAGTTGAGTAATCGACTCTGTGTTTGAACGTTTAGGCATTGTCTACGTATGGTAACTTTTCAAAATCTCTCTCTCTCTCTCTCTCTCTCTCTCTCTCTCTCTCTCTCTCGCTTGCGATACGGTAATATTGTTATATCAATCGAAGGCACATGCTGTCTCTCTCTCTCTCACTTTTTCCCTTCATATACACATTAAAAACGGACGATTTAAAACGGTTTGCCGTGAACACGGAATCTATACAAACAGGTATACTCTAGTTGTCCATGATTACTATGTACTCTCAGTTCCACGTACTCGTAGGGTGCCTCGATCGTTGTATTCTGAAAACAGCAGAGCAGCTACACGTTGTTAAAACGATTACACACAGACTCTCACGCGTTTAGAACGATACTCACCAGAACTGGAAAATATTGCAAACTGTCAGCCGAAGCTGCAAATTCGTAATCTCCAAACATCACCGGTTCAGGATCATTTTCGTCGACGAAACCCTGTGTGTGGTGTTCAGACGTAGTATAAATCGAATCGTGCGTTTCTTCTTCTTTTTCGCCAACTCTTACTTACCCAGACGTTAAATTTTTTCGGGGCACTTTTCATTTCTCCATTCGGCAAAATCGACTTCGGCGCATGTTCTACCGTGAATCCGGTAACGTAAATAGAATTGCGTAACTTGATCAACAGATACCCTGGGAATCCTTGAAACGCCCAACAAGCACCTGGTTGTATCGGATTTCCTTGTATCACCGTGCGGGGATTGTTATTTTCGTGGTAAAGTGTAAAAGTTAACAGTTTGAACGCCCTTGTTCTTATATCGTATATTTGGGTGCATCGTGTGCTAATAATTTGACCTCCTATGAAGTAACACGAAGCTTTATCCAATCGCGCGGCGGATTATCATCGTCGATTCGATTCCAACTTACCCGCAGGTTCCAAAGCATAGTCGACGCGTCCCGTTTTATCCGCGTCGTATACCTTCAACGCCTCTTTGACTATTTCGCGCACACGATCGTCGTCATCTTCGACTGCAAAAATAATTCTCTTTTCACCGCACTTTTCTCTTCCATCCAACAGTTTTTCATCAAATACTACCTTCGATTTCTTCTTTCTTCTGCGTTACAGTAGCAACAAAGTAATTCGTCAAAACCGTTTCGATACGCTTCTCTAAATCTTCACTCGTAACGTACTTCGTCGTGTCAGTGTCGCAACACGATTTCGAACAAAGTTCTTTCAACGCCTCGAATTGCGATTCAATCCTATCAATTTCCCGACTGTAGATATACTTCAATCCCTCTTCCAACAGCAATATCTCATTCTGAAACGTGACATTTGAACGCCTTAATGTTAAAAAGGACTCATAAAAACTCAACGACGTGATATATTCTTACAGTTCGATCCTCCAAACTGCTCGGTTTTCTAGCGTCGAAGTTTTCCGGATCTCCGTTTTCCATCGTTTCTTTCTTTAAAAACAACAATCCTGCATCGCTCTGTCGCGTGACAACAACTTCGACCGGGAGCAACAACGTCGAAAGACACGGTAGTAAACACCAGCAACCTGAAATATACAGATGAAATTCAGCCGATCTTCGAACTTGGCAAATCTATCGAGAGAAGGATAGACGAAGGGACTCACCGTTCCTCCGACGAGATCGAGATCAAGCCAATCCTACTCCCTCTATCCTTCTCCCATTTTTTTTTTTTTTTTTTTTTTTTTTTTTTTTTTTTTTTTTTTTTTTTTTTTTTTTTTTTTTTTTTTTTTTTTTTTTTTTTTTTTTTTTTTTTTTTTTTTTTTTTTTTTTTTTTTTTTTTTTTTTTATTCAACCGTTTATACACATTTTCATATTACAGAGTAGTTTTACAGATACCGCCGCCGTGTAGCACACCCCGATTATGAAGTAACTTAAATAACGATCAAGTAACACGACTACTATACACAAGAAAACATACACAACGTAGGGAAGCAACGTATGCAACAATTTCTAACCAATGCTAAGGGGGGGCGGCATCATCTCGGGTAAAGACACGTTCGCACCGGGCAGAAAATATACCGACAAATTTTTAAGCGTTTTTACATATTCGACAAACAAATCGTTGTTTCGCAAGGACGTTAAACTGATAATATCGTTAAAGATGCGATTGCTCGTCTCAGTGACATCGTAGGGAATACTGTGCAGAGAATCCAGACGAATAAAGGACTGTTTTCGCACGATGCAAGTTCCTGAAACAAAAAGAAAAACAAACGCCAGGATAGGTTTCACCGGGTCTTCCCGAAGATGCCACGGCAAAAACTCGATCTCGCGGGTGAACACCGACCAAGGGTTGACACAAAAATTTACCAGTAAGAAGTAGCAGCAACGGCAGTAAAGCAGCGACCCAAACGACGTTCGGGTTTCTCCGATGGAACCATCTTCTTACGCCAGATATTCGACTCAGTAGCCACGAATCGAAGAAGAACACTTTCACCATGAAGAAATAAACGTACTGCAAGGAACGGTCGACGGATCGCCATACTTTCAACCGTTTAGATTCTGCAATCGAGCAAAATTAATTTCGTATTTCGTAGATATACGTTAACAATCCTACAACAATACCTCTTCTTTCGAGATTTAGAAATTTCCAGAGTTTGCCGAACCGTGAAACAACAATCCCATTTCCGTTGCGATCGTTCGAAACAGCTTCTTCAATTTCGGCGTCAGAATCGATACATTTCGATCGCGAATTCGTCCAAGTCTCGGGTACCGTTACTTCTCTACGACAACGATAGCGTTCCATACGTGATCCGTGAAACTCGTCGTCGTCGTCGTCGTCGTCGATCTGCTGTATCGCGATACAAACAAGGGGTAGGATATAAAAATCAAAAATTACAAGAATCGCACGAAAAACCACCCACCGTACTATTTTCTCCTCCTTTCTCTTTTTCAACGCTGGTTGTTTCACCGCTGCATATACCGCTATCGGAAAGTCGATTAAGATCCGAATGGATAGAACGTCGCGACATATTGGGCATCGCTAGTATACCTGGTGCTATTTCATAACGACATCGAGATCTCTCGGAATACGTATAATCCGTTTTCGGGAACACGCTGAAATATATTGCCGAGAACGGACAGTGTGACATAGATGCGATTTAAAGATCGAATACGTACTTCCACCAATCGCCAGCTTGTTTATAAATTTCGTGGGCAGAACTTGGTCGGTTGGTAGACAAATCTTCTCCTTCCTCCGAAGAATAATCACTGGTGAGAGTAGTTGCTACTTTACCATCGGCAGTTCGACCATTCGCGTGTATCTGCCTCCTTGCTTTTTGTCGTTCGGACCGACGTTCTAGCTTCGTCGCACTCCTTTCCGTCGTAGACTCCGGATCGTTACCAGATCTGAAACAAAATTCCAATCGTACACGATTCGCGCGACGCAACAATCGAAATACCGTCGACACTAACAACGTAACTTCTCCAGGAGATCTCTCTTTACTTCGACTTCTCAAATCGTAACGACGTTCCGAAATCTCCGGTTCGATCAAGGCACGGCTTTGCACCAAAGGAGTTCCGGAGCGCGATCTGCTTCGTAACTCGTAAAGTCGTTCGTTTTCCATAGTTCTGTGAAAAGTACGTATTCTCTTTTACCTCCTACAGCGTGACATCGCACAATTCTATTTACAGAGAACTCACCGAAAATATACGAAAGAAATTCACCACAGTTCTTCTTAAACAACTCTATTCGGTTTGCAATGTAATAATATGTTTATCAACATTGGGACGTTCCTTCCTCTAACACGAGCATGTAACGCGTAGAAAAGGACCAACAGCCGTGCGTATATGCGCACGCATCTTACGATGATTCATTCTACGTTGTTGTTGCTTCGATGCAACAGCTCGAAAGGTTAGCGGAAAGAAACGAAATTACATTTCCCGTAAGAACGACTGCAAATCATAATTTTCAAACAATATTTTCACAACACTTTTGGAACCGAAGGATCGAACTTACATTGCCCACGCTCTGTGAGAACCAGCCACGCATACTCTGCGATTCGTCATGCGGATCCACCCTTACTCGCGAACTAAATATGTAGATAATTTGTAAAAAAAATATAAACGCACATTTGATCGAAGGATAAATATGTTGGGACAAGTTGTTGATTACACAGTGCCGTAACTTTCCCGCCTAAACGTTAAAACAAACGGAGCAACGGTGATTCTACGTTCAATTCTATGGTAGGAAAATTTCTTTCTTTTCTATTTTAAAAGATGCTTCGGAATCGGGCCGAAATAGTTGTAGCGGTCTTCGGGCTTTTTCTCCCAAAGTCGGGAGATAAGAACGCCGATAAATAACCGTGTCGGCAATATGAGAATATTTTTCGAAAAAATTAAGCGGAAAAGGGTTAAATCTTGATTGATACGAAATAATCGGTTGATAAAGTAATCGATAATTGAATCTTACGTTGATCGAATCTTCGTCGATAAGACCTCGCAAATATGCTTGTAAAAGAAACTAATCCAATTCGCAACTCGGAGAGACAAACACTGGGGAATATTTTTCTAAAAAAAGAACTAACCCAAAGTCGGAAAGACAAACCCTAGGGAATATTTTTCTAAAAAAAGAACTAACCCAATTCGCAACTCGGAAAGTCAAACCCTAGGGAATATTTTTCTAAAAAAAAAACCAACTCATATTCGCAAGTCGGAAAGACGAACCCTAGGGAATATTTTTCTAAAACAAAAAAAACCAACCCATATTCGCAACTCGGAAAGGCAAACCCTAGGGAATATGAACGTCGGAAATATGTTAATAAAAAAAAAAACTAACCCGAAAATAAAAAATTGTCGGAATGTCACTGATATGTTTAAAAAAAAACTGACCTTTCCAGAACTGACTTATCCCGAACTGACCTTCCTAGAACTGACTTCAGCGTCCTTGAATGGACTGGTTGTTTCCGAAAATTCGAATCAATGTACCTAACGAAAGCTATTTTTTCAAAGAATTCAAACGGACTACATCGCTGGTAACTTCTCGATGTATCGAGAGGAATTTGCGGAACGTCTCTATTCGATCGAACCCTTTCGTTTTATCCGTCACGTCTCAAGTACGATCCTATTACTTGCTGCGTAACTCCTAGCAGGTTACCTATCACGACGATTCGCTGAACAATTGTGCGCCAAAAAGCGGAGGTGTATTTATTTTAATATATAAATTATCTGTATAGTGATTCTAATAATCCATATTAGTATGTAATTTGAACTCAAATATTTGAATTACACATCTGTCAGGGGGGAATTAGAGTGTAATTTTATCTAAACCAATCAATTTAGGTGAAATTTTGTTAGAGTAAATTTAAATTACAGACCCGGAAAAAGAACGGAAACCCACCTCGTGCCCTCTACCTGTACCTACGCAAACTGACGCAGAAACAATCGACATTTTACATTGGACGTACAAATAGGGAAGAAAAGGACAATTCGTACGTCAAACTCTTCCGCAAGTGCCATCTAACAGCAGGTACGAAAACTGAAGCTTCTAGCAACAGCGCATGGATGGCAGCAGCATCGGCATACGATTGTGTGGTGTGTGTGTACATGTGGCACAGTTGCCATTTTTTTCTGCTCTCGCGCGCACATGTCTGGAGTTAGGCGAACGACATTGTACGTACGGACGAGGTAATGTATTTCGTTTAGGCGGTAAGTTTACGGTTCAAAGATTCGAAAAAAACATTTTCGATTTAATTTGTAAAACTGAATTTTTATACTTAACGCAGTACCAAAGATGCAAGGAAATCGTACGTCATAATTATCAAGGACAGTTTATTCATATGAAATTTTGTTAGAGTAAATTTAAATTATATTACAGAGCCGGAAAAAGAACGGAAGCCCACCTCGTGCCCTCTACCTGTACCTACGCAAACTGACGCAGAAACAATTGACATTTTAAATTGGACGTACAGATAGGGAAGAAAAGGACAATTCGTACGTCAAACTCTTCCGCAGGTGCCATCTAACAGCAGGTACGAAAACTGAAGCTTCTGGCAACAGCTAATAGATGGCAGCAGCATCGGCATACGATTGTGTGGTGTGTGTGAGCATGTGGCACAGTTGCCATTTTTTTCTGCTCTCGCGCGCACATGTTTGGAGTTAGGCGAACGACATTGTACGTACGGACGAGGTAATGTATTTCGTTTAGGCGGTAAGTTTACGGTTCATAGATTCGAACAAAACATTTTCGATTTAATTTGTAAAACTGAATTTTCTTACTCAACGCAGTACCAAAGATGCAAGGAAGTCGTACGTCATAATTATGAAGGACAGTTTATTCACATTTGCCGCCTTTGGATTCACAGTCCAGCGAAAGGAACTTGAAATAAGTAAGTAGCTCCAAACAATTGTTATAAATTCTTTTATACTAATATAAGATATTAATTTCGACATTTCGCAACAACTGGCAGAAAGGTTAGAAGGTGGTGAACTGTAAAAATCGTATGGTACATATATTTCTATTCCAGACGTATCTCAATGTGCGTATTTTTCATTGTTGGAATACTCTGCATTTGGAATTGGGATAAGCGTGTAAGAGTGAACGTTGAAAATAGCATATGTTATTAGTATTAGCGATAATTGCAACATAGTTGAAATGAACAATATTAATCTTTTTGTGGTACATTTAGGAAATATACAATCTTAGGTGGAACAAACTTTGGAGAAGTTTCCGTGGAGGTTGGCATCTGCAAAGGACATATTCTTCTGCTGGATTTCACTTGTAATTATGATAGACACGTACAATTAAGGGCCCTTCTGAGTTTTCATAAATTGATAGTTTTAAGTGTCTTGTAAGATATGTTTCAAGTTATTGTAAGATATGTTTTACTCAGGCAAGAAAAGGTCTAGCAATAAGAAGGAACAAGGATTCCGAAATAAGAAAAGGATTTCGACCGCCGAAAATTCGCAACATATCTTTTGTCCAGAAGCTAATAACGAACTCGATGGTTCCATCCGTAAAGCCAATCTATGAAGATTTAACCCTTTGCACTCCAAAGGCGCTGTTACGACGACATACTTCAATAACGCAACTTAAACACTAAAAATCTTTTCTTTCTTAACAAATCTTTATATTTTGAAAAGTACACTGAAATTGCTATCTAATCTTATCAAAAAATGCTTGGAGTGCAAAGGGTTAAATAGTCGAGCTTTATTAAACAGATGTGTTGGGGGGCGAAACAATAATGAGCGAAAATGAACCAGGGAAATAAGACGAAACGTTGTCTGCCACCAAAGAACCATTCGAAGAATGCAGCATTGATGGAGCTTCAACGAGAAAACAAAGGATGTTTATATGGATCGAAGGTAAACATTGAATTAATAATTTGTTTTCAATGAACTACCAAGGTGCGTATGTATATCTGTCCTTTTTTTTTTATTTTTTCTTCGCTATTTTATTGCAGCTCAATTTGCCGAGGAGATTTTCGCACCACCGTGGAGAGATTCCATCAGCCTTTTCTAGCCTGCGTGTATTATTCTTGACTGTATATGAAATTTGTGTGAATAAATTTGAATATTGTAAATCTCCTTTCTTTTATTCTCCATTGAACAAAAACTTCTCTGAAATACTCTTTTTCAAACGACTGTAAGGACGTTATTCGTATATTCTAGTTGGTGAATTAGTTGTTAGAAAAGTGTTATTATTTGAAAAATGCTACTATCGGTAATTGCATCGTACAATTGTATAACGCGATTACCGTTCTTTTTATTCAAATTTATTACGTCACACTGGCGCCACTTCGAGTATCGATTGTACTACCTGAAGTCGAGAAAGGACGCGTTCGAGTGTCGCGCGTGGCGGCAGAACGCATCAGTACGATTTGTGCGTTCGTGTAGGAAGGACTAAGTAAAGTGTGAAAATGTGAAACGTGTATCACCGTGGAAGTTTGAGGACAATGGTAAGCTTTTCTTATTAGTGTTATCAAAGATCGAATATTGCACGCGATGCGTTTATTTATTTGAATTTTGTGTTAGAAAATTGTTCGGAATAATACGGCAAAACCAATTGTGACTTGAACGTGTTATTAATATTCGGGACGCTAGGTGCGGCAGTTGTTGGCATTTCCTTGTTTATTATTTTTTCATCAGCATTATTGTTATTTTATTACTACGACGCGTAGTCCTCAGCTTGCTTTCCAAAATCAGAGACGCGCATTTTCGTTATCTCGGTGGCCGTCGGTGAAGCGTGTAACTCAACACCACCCGGTTTCTCTTTGTTTGCCCATGGTGTTTTTCTTAAATAGTTTCTGTTTAGATACGCACGCCACTTAACGGTTTGTTTAGTTGAGCCGCTGGCGAGAAGTATATACCAAAGCGTATAACAAGTAGGTTAATAATTTTTCTATTTCATTGTTACCTTTTATTCGAAAGTGTTCGTTCGGCAAAGGCGGGCGAGTTTAGTGAAAAGCTTGAAAGTCGGGCGCGTTGTTATAAAAAAAAAATTGGTATCGAATCTTGGATAATTGAATGCTACTTGAATCTTGGATAATTGAAAGAATATTCTAAAAAATGTGTACAAATATGTTTGTAAAAAAAAAAGTAAACTCAAACAACTGTAAACTAATTTGTAACGAAATGCAATACTTTTCATTGCAGCCCAGCTGGAAAATTCTTCGCCTGCCATCCATCGGAGACGACGACGACGGGGTTCTGGACCGCTGACGACATCGGTGAATTACGGCAAGTAGTTACGTTTATTCCACATACATTAGGTTAATTCCAC